TTATTGAAGAAGACACTAAGGCTTGGGTTTCGTGGAACCCTATCCTCGTTCTCAAGTCAAGAGAGTGAACACTTGAGATGAGGGGTGATTTCACTAGCTGATTTAGGGTGATTACAAACCTCCTGGGGCTGGCACACAAGTTGGCAAGCTTCACGGGCGATGCGCTAGCCGACTAGGACCAAGCTCCAAGAGCAACAAACACATACCACTGGCTTGAACATGAACCAAGTGCTTTAGGCAATGAAGAACAGATAGGAGAGCTTTCCTTCTCAGTTTGGAGGCTCAATCTCTCAAGGAATCGGAAGGGAATCGATGGGAGAAGCTTGAGGTGCTCCAATGTAGTGAGAGATGTCAAGAGAGCTTTCCTGGCTATGTTTAGATGCAAATGGTCATGGGTGACCGTTGAGAGAGGAAGAGGGTGAAGGAAATACCCCTTCCCCAACGGTCATATTTTAAGGTGCGATAGTGCGGCTCTGAGTGCGGCACTGCTGCCGGAGCAGCAGTGCTACTCCTTAGAGTGGCAGTGCTGCTTTGGCTTGTCAGCTCCGAATTGAAAATTGTTTCATAGGCTAACTAGGCAAGGTAAAAGAGGATGTTTGGTGGATTTTTAGCACTTAGTTGCACGTTGAAGCTTGCATCTTGTATCCCCCTTTGTAGTATGGCTTTTTCTAAACTCAATTTCAAAAGTAAAATGAATTATAAACGCCTTTGAGTTGGATGTCGCATCCTTATGTAATTGGGTCTCTACCATCACATATGTTATCCTCCTTTTGAATTTACCTGCTTGTCATCACGATAAATCTCGTTAGTCCCCTAATTGTGTGGTCTTTATCACCAAAACCCACATTAGGGCTTGATTGCACTTACAAAGGTGGATTTTGCCAGAAAAATCATGTTGTCGAGGTTCGTTGAGCTCTCGATTGCAAAGTCACCGAAAGCCCCTACCTGGCACGCCAGTTGTCGGTGTTTGAGGACTGGCAACTTGTCATGGGGTTACCCAAGATGATGGTTGGTGGGCTTCAACGTACGCTGAACTCGGCGGTAAACGCAAGAGACAATGATCTATACTAGTTTAGGCCACGATGGGTGTAATACCTTACGTCTAGTGCGGCGTGTAGCCTTTGCGTTGGATTGGTTTGTATGATTATGTGTACAAGGGTGTGGGGGGTATAACCCCAGGTACCCACGGCAAAGACATGGGTCGCACCATCAGGGGTGGTCCAGCCCACAAGATCAAGGCACGTGGCGCACAACATTTCTTGGCATGTGCCGCAAGGCTTCAGGAAGGAATCTTGAAGATTGAGATAGATCTGATCAGATATGCTAAATAGCGTATTCCTTATAATGATTATCATGTAAATGACTAGATTTACATCTAATCGACCTATAACCCTACCCCCCCGGCTATATAAGACGGGTAGGAGACCTCCTCAATTCATCTCATCTCATCACCTCCTCTCATATACAATCAATACAATCCAACAGAACATAGGATATAAGGTGTTACGTCGTATTGATGGCCTGAACCTATCTAAATCTTGTATCTCTATTGCCATCTAGTTCTTGATCACGCGCACCTCCACCACACAATCTACCATCATGGGTATACCCCTCGGTGGACTATCGACGATATTCTATTGACAAAGGGGGTGTGCCCTGCCTCTCTTTATATAGGGCAGAGGGTAGGGGCACATATCTAGTCCTAGTCGGTTACAATAGAAGAGTCCTAGTCCTATTATAGAAGCTAGCTTTCTTGGTAAGCCAACTAGGTCAGTCCTTGATAGCTTGGAGTCCACGCCACCTTGCCTCGCGTCCTCCAGCTAGCAGACCGTGGGACAGCCCAGGGCCCAGCCAGGTAGTTGACCCCATAGGGAAACCCTAGGACCCTGGTCTGTCACGGATGCCATTTTTAGTGCTGTCGGTGCATGAAGGTAGGGAGAATTTCATAGCTTGACATTTTGATAATCATGGGAGATTTGGTGTGCGTAGTGCCTACAAGGTATGTCGTGCTAATATATTGTGAGAAAGAAGTCGTTTGGGAGCCCAAGGAGGCAATGGAAATGTGCATGATCCAATTTGGAAGATGATTTGGCAGTTGTGTGTTCCAAGCAAGGTGAAACACTTTTTTTAGTGAATGGCTCATAACAGTCACCCTTTGAGAAGAAATCTTATTTAGCGTGGAGTGAAGATACATGACAATTATCCAATCTGTGGAGAAATCGGTGAAGATGGGGGCATTTGTTTTTTAAATGCAGGCTGACGAAGGAGATTTGGTGTCATCTGAATTCGGACAGGAAGAGGGCGGCACTGGCTGTTACTGTCCTGGTTCGTGATGCCATGGACATGATTCTAAAATCCAAAGAAGACTGCAACCTACTGATGATCATTGCTACATGGTTTATTTGGAATGAACGCAATCTCATCAGAGAGGAAGGCGAGGAAGGCCACAGGAGGATTGTTGATTTTATTGCTCGATGTATCAAAGTCCTATGCGGATGAAAATGCCTTAGTGCAGGAAGAAAATTCAAGGACAATCAGAAGAGCCTCTAGGCAAAGGGAGAGATGGTGTAAACCACCGTTGGGATATCTGAAACTTAAATGTGATGCGTCTTTTTTGCCTACCTCTTCATCGGGCAGCTAGGGTTTCCCGATTCAAGACTCTGATGGTGACGTGGTGGTGACTGGAAGGGGCAAGGTAGATCATATGCTCAATGCCTTTCATGCCAAACTCATTGCTTGTCTCCAAGGAATATAGACAACGGTTGACTTGGGAATTGGTCAATTGATCATCGAGACAGACGAGAAGTTGGTGGTGCAGGCGATTACCTTTGAAGCTTTTGATGCTGCTGATGTAGGGGTGCTGATAGTGAGATCAAGGCACTAGCGTCTTCTTGTTTCACTAGTTTTGAGTGTTCATTTAAAGGTCGAGAATGTAATGGTGCCGCTCATGAGCTGGCTGTGTTGGGTCACATGTGTGTACGAGGAGAGGAGCAAATCACTAGCTCTATTCCTGAACTGTTCATGTATTTGTTGTTAATGATTTGTTAGCCATTGAGTAATGAGATTATACCCAATTTAAAAAAACTTATGTCATGTTAACCTTCATAAATGTGCTTGCTTCCACACGATACAAAGATATATCCCATAATATTTAAGCCATATCATCAATTCTATTTGTATTGTTGTCTTTTGCTTGAATAAGATTGCTTCCATGACAATACATCATTTTGGCTTACAATTCAACATAATATGAAATATCATCAAGCTTGCTCTCTTTGTTGAACCTTTGATACACTTCAAATTATACATTAATTCATATCTCAAGTGTATCCAATATAAGCAAGTCTCTTTTCAGTGCTTACAGACTGGTTAGACGTGTTATCATTCAATCCACCAAAAACCACTAAAGGGTTAGATGCACTTCCATATACAAAGGAAAACACTAAGAAGGTATCCACACACACAAAATTAGCTCTAGCATCCGGCTTCTACAAGCAACATGGAGAATAAAATCCTAGTACACAATATACTCAACTAGACTTATTATTCGACTTGGTGGGAGTAGTCTCCCAACTCTCAAAGATACACATGGGGTTATTTTGGCTAGTTTAGTTTTTTTGCAAAGATTACTAATAGTACATCCTTATGTTTCAAGTTTTAGTAGTCAGGATTAAATTCATTAACTAACCATTCTAGGTAAGTACGGTGAACTACTTTTAAGCAACCAGTTCATGTTCCAGTTGCGTTAACTACGATGCCTATGAAAAGGATCATGTACCCATATCCGAGAGATGAGAGCTCAAAGGGGATGATTTGTGTATTTACATCAAAGAAAATATGAAACTAATACCAATTTTTCCTAAAAATGCTATCTAACTGTTGGTAATCTATTTATAGTTATTTGGAACTGATTTATTTCTGTTCCTATTGTTTTAATGCTTCTGGCCTGTTTATTAGAAACATGAACAAATAAAACTCAAATGACTCCAAATAGAGCACCAATGAATAAATTTTTTAGGAAAAATGGAATTAGTTTCAAATTTTTTATTTAAAATAAATAAGTTATGAATTTTTAGAGATTTAAATAGATTTTATCATTTTATATAATAGGAAACCACCTTTGAAACTAGCTAAAGGACCTAATTTGTCCAGTTTCAACGGTTAGAAGCTATTTAGTACCCGCTTTTATAGTTTAGGGTCGACAATCAAACTCCAGCATAAATTGAAGGTTGAAAAATATACTTTACTCTTATTCTTTTTTTATTACATAGTACAATGCAAACACTCGTGAGGCACGCACACTCACCACTATGAACACATGCACGTAAACCCTACCCCGATAAGCATCTTCAAAGACTGAGCTGACAAATTCTTGAGATTGATGCCTTGCTGTCGACAGAAACGTCGCCTACCACTGGAAGCACAACAACGTTAAATTTTGGAATATTTGCTCTCACGGCGAGTTAAACAACCTAAGAGTCTAACCAGAATCTAAGATGTTAATGAGGTTCTTATAACCACTAAGCTACGTATATACAGGGGCTTGTTTGATTTGACTTGAGGTAAACCCTGGATGGCAAAACATTCCTGTGCGTTAGATTTTAGCTGCGTAGGATCCGCTTTGCTAGCCGGTGACCAGGCGTTTGGATAATGAGATATAGAGGGTGGGATAAGAAAAAGAAATATGAATGAACGGCTATGATTAAATGAGACGTAAGAAATGGATAGATAGGATACAATATTCCCTATCCCTGTCACTGTCCAAACGAGCCATGAAAGTTTATCTCGGCACATGGATTCAAACCTCCGTTTCCATCAGGCCGGACGGTTTGTGGACAGACAGACAGGGGGAAAAAAAAAACCATAGGGAGCCCGGGACGGGAGCGGCGAGCCGGGACGCCCAACGCCAGCACCACAGTCCCACCCAACCGGCCAACCCAACCCGATCAAGTCGAATCGCGCACCAAACCCTAGCTCCGACACCAGCACCACCCTTAGCCATGGCGCCGGCGGCGGCGGAGGCTGGTCCCGGCGATGACGGACTTAGGAAGCTGGAGTACCTTTCCCTGGTCTCTAAGGTTTGCTCTGAGCTCGAGACCCACATCGGCGTCGGCGACAAGGTGCTGGCCGAGTTCATCACCGAGCTCGGCCGCGACTCCACAACCGTCTCCGAGTTCGACGCTCGGCTCAAGGAGAAGGGCGCCGACTTCCCCGACTACTTCGTCCGTACGCTCCTCACCATCATCCACGCCATCCTCCCGCCGACCTCCTCCAACCCTAGCTCTGCTGCCGTCACCGCGGGCCCCGCTGGCGCGGAGGCGGCCAAGTTCCCCGGGCTCGCCCGTCCCGACGACCCCGACCACGCTCGCAACCTCCGCCTCGAGCTCGAGCGGGATGCCTATGCGGCCGCTCCTGCTCCGGCGAGGGATGACCGCGACCGCCGCTGGGATGAGAGAGGCCGAGACCGGGACGACCGGGACTACAGTCGCGGCGGCCGTGACCACCACCGTGACCGTGGCGGCCGCGACTGGGATCGAGGGCGCGACCGTGAGTATGGCCGTGATAGGGATCGGGACCGTGGCAGAGATCGTGATGGGGACCGGCATCAGGATAGAGACAGAGGGAGGGACAGAGATACTGGTAGGAACAGAGATAGGGACTGGGGGAGGAGCAGGAGGTATGCAGATGATGAGGAAGAGGAGAGGGGTGATGGAGGAAGGGGAAGGGGAAGGGGAAGGGATCTTGCTGCTTCAAATCCCAGTGGGGAGCCAGAGCTGTACCAGGTGTACCGAGGGAGGGTTACCCGGGTGATGGACACTGGATGCTTTGTCAGGCTTGAGGATGTCCGCGGTGGCCGCGAGGGACTTGTTCACGTATCACAGATGGCAAGTAGGCGGGTGGCCAATGCAAAGGAGGTGGTGAAGCGTGACCAGGAGGTGTATGTGAAGGTGGTTTCGGTGAAGGGGCAGAAGTTGAGTTTGTCGATGCGGGATGTGGATCAGGATACTGGGAAAGACCTCCTGCCGATGCAGCGTGGCGGGGATGATGCACCAAGGGTGAACCCATCAGGTGGCAATGGCAGTGGCATGGGGTCTGGCAAGAGGTTGGGTTTGTCAGGTATTGTGATCACAGAGGAGGATGAGGCAGCCCCAATGTCAAGACGACCACTCAAGCGAATGAGCTCGCCAGAGAGGTGGGAAGCAAAACAGCTTATTGCCTCGGGCGTGCTGGATGTGAGGGATTATCCAATGTTTGACGAGGATGGGGATGGTATGATGTACCAGGAGGAAGGTGCAGAGGAAGAGCTTGAAATTGAGCTAAATGAGGATGAACCAGCATTCTTGCAGGGGCAGAGCCGGTTTTCAATTGACATGTCACCTGTAAAGATCTTTAAGAATCCTGAGGGCTCACTGAGCCGAGCAGCAGCCCTACAGAGTGCTCTCATAAAGGAGCGTCGTGAGGTTCGAGAACAGGAGCAGAGAGCCATGTTAGATTCAATCCCGAAGGATCTGAATCGACCATGGGAAGACCCAATGCCTGATACAGGTGAGCGGCACCTTGCACAGGAGCTGCGAGGTGTTGGCCTTTCAGCTTATGACATGCCTGAATGGAAGAAGGAGGCCTATGGAAAAGCTTTAACTTTTGGGCAAAGGTCAAAGCTTTCAATACAAGAGCAGAGGCAGTCTCTTCCTATTTACAAGTTGAAGAAAGAGCTTATACAAGCTGTACATGATAATCAAGTTTTGGTTGTTATTGGAGAGACTGGTTCCGGGAAGACGACACAGGTGACACAATATTTGGCTGAGGCAGGTTATACCACACGGGGTAAAATTGGGTGTACTCAGCCTCGTAGGGTTGCTGCAATGTCTGTTGCAAAGAGAGTGGCAGAAGAGTTTGGTTGTCGACTGGGAGAGGAAGTTGGTTATGCTATCCGTTTTGAGGACTGCACTGGTCCGGACACAGTGATTAAATACATGACTGATGGTATGCTTCTGCGTGAAATTCTTGTTGATGAGAACCTTTCCCAGTATTCTGTTATCATGCTTGATGAAGCCCATGAAAGGACCATCCACACTGATGTGCTCTTTGGTTTGCTGAAACAACTTATTAAACGCAGATCTGATATGAGGCTTATTGTTACTTCTGCCACCCTTGATGCTGAGAAGTTCTCAGGATATTTCTTTAACTGTAACATCTTCACAATTCCTGGAAGAACATTCCCAGTAGAGATACTGTACACTAAACAACCTGAAAGTGATTACTTGGATGCAGCATTGATTACTGTGCTGCAGATTCACTTGACAGAGCCAGAAGGAGACATCCTTGTTTTCCTGACAGGGCAGGAGGAAATCGATCATGCCTGCCAATGTCTTTATGAGAGGATGAAGGGGCTAGGGAAGGATGTTCCTGAGCTGATAATCTTGCCTGTGTATAGTGCCCTTCCTAGTGAGATGCAATCAAAGATCTTTGACCCAGCTCCACCTGGTAAGAGGAAAGTTGTGGTGGCGACCAATATTGCTGAAGCTTCTTTGACAATTGACGGTATATACTATGTTGTGGATCCTGGTTTTGCCAAAATCAATGTATACAATTCAAAACAAGGGCTTGACTCATTGGTCATCACTCCAATATCACAAGCGTCCGCGAAACAAAGAGCAGGGCGCATGAGGCGTACTGGACCTGGCAAGTGTTATCGTCTATACACTGAAAGTGCCTACCGGAATGAGATGTCCCCACAACGATTCCAGAAATACAGAGGATCAACTTGGGATCTACAGTTCTTAATATGAAGGCGATGGGAATAAATGACCTGTTATCCTTTGATTTTATGGACCCCCCAGCACCTCAAGCATTGATTTCTGCCATGGAACAGTTGTACAGCCTTGGCGCTCTTGATGAAGAGGGCCTTCTAACCAAACTGGGGAGAAAAATGGCAGAATTTCCATTGGATCCACCACTTTCAAAGATGCTACTAGCCAGTGTTGACCTTGGATGCAGTGATGAGATACTGACTATCATAGCTATGATTCAAACAGGGAATATATTCTACAGGCCACGAGAAAAACAGGCTCAAGCTGATCAAAAGAAGGCTAAATTTTTTCAGCCAGAGGGAGACCATCTTACTCTACTTGCTGTATATGAGGCCTGGAAGGCAAAGAACTTTTCAGGGCCCTGGTGTTTTGAGAACTTTGTTCAATCAAGATCATTGAGGAGAGCCCAGGATGTGAGGAAACAACTTCTCACTATCATGGACAGGTAACTGTTATTTTAGCTGTTTGAACTAGAAATATGCAGCATTTGCATTAGTTATGCACCTTTTCGTTCCTCTTATGTTTCCTTGTGCTCTTGCATATTATATATTCAATACCTTTATGATGCTCGTTTTCCTGCATACATCCACAGCTCCACTGGATATTTACATACGATAAGATCATTTCAAAATTTTCCCTGTTTAAATGTTATGTATCATTTTTCTTCTGTATTGGTTCAGATGAAAATTTTCCTGCTTTTAGTATTTTTTCATCAAATAAGGTAGAACCATTGTAGTAGCTACGGATGATAGCACCTAGGGGCCACCGCAGACCCTGTGCACCACCTCAGGTCTTATATGACACTTGCCTATCACACTTGAAAATATAAATTTCCAAACAACAATTAATGAAATGTTACGTGGTCTAGTGGTATGCTCCTTCATTCCTAACTAAGAGGGCTGTAGTTTGATTCCTCCGTAGCTATGAGTTATTTTTTATTTTCCAATTTCTAATCCCCTCTTTGTTGTGTCCTGTGAGATCTGCTCACCTTATTTTCCAACCTTCCCCCCCCCCCCCCCCCCCCCCACCCCTCTTTGTTGTCTCCCGTGAGATCTCCTCACCTGTGTTTCAGTTTTCACTCTTATTTATCTCCTCTAAAAGTTAATAACTATAGATACTATACTTGATCGTTTATTTTTCTATTTTCATCCTCTTGTGGTATCATCCGGTAAATTCTGAGGTTGTTCGGGGATAGTCCAAACCCCTAACACTTCTAGAAATTAACTATAGATAATATACTTCGTAGTATCATAAGAATTTAGGTACTGATCGGGATTCCGACAACCAACTAGTCCAGTGGAGTGTGATGTGCTTGCTGAATAGTGTTGTAAGCATAAGCCAGACAAAGTAGTTTTGTAAGATTTGTTTATGCATATTTTGAACTATTGAATTAGTGTTTGTACTATTTCTGTTGTAATTTATGAAAAAATGGAACTTAATTGTTGAATTTAGGACATATTATGTTATTTAGTAATTATGGAGCAAAATTTGGTAATTATTTATTGAATTGCTAAATGAAATTTACCGAATTGCATGTAAAAAAATTTGATATGGCATACCCTTAGGTAAAATCCTAAGTCCGCCACTGTAGCGCCAGATATCTTTTTTTGTTCCCATCTTTTGCTTGAGTCTTTCCGTTTCCTTTTGTGCTTGAAGGATGTTTCTCCTTGATGTTTTGTAATGGGATCAGTTTTCTTCTATCTTCATCACCAACCTTCCAATCAAACCAAACACCCTTGTGGTAGTCTAAGTAACTGAAAATTACTACCTGGTTTAGCATTGAGATGGTTGTGCACTATCATGTGTCCTTTGTGTCTGTACCTTCTGTTGTTTTCTCTTCTACAGTCAGCTTGTTATTATTGTTCTCATGGCTATTTTCAGTGAGATCTATGCTAATTGATTAGACAACCTTTTCTTTGAGGTCTATCTACCTGGTTTAGCATTGAGACTGTTCTGAGACTATTATGTGTCCTTCGTGTTTGGACCCTGGCTATGCCTGTACATCATGTCTTTTTTTTTCTTCTAAATTCAGCTTGTTGTTATTGTTCCCATGGCTATTTTCAGTGTTAGATCTTTGCTTCATTGACTAGACAACCCTTTCTTTGAGGTCTATCTATTTCCTAATCTATGTCACTCTTGTCTGTGCAGATATAAACTTGATGTTGTCTCCGCTGGGAAAAACTTCACAAAGATAAGGAAAGCCATCACTGCAGGATTCTTTTTCCACGCCGCCAGGAAGGATCCCCAGGAAGGATACAGAACCTTGGTCGAAAACCAGCCAGTGTACATCCACCCTAGCAGCGCATTGTTCCAGCGCCAGCCAGACTGGGTCATCTATCATGAGCTTGTGATGACGACAAAGGAGTACATGAGGGAGGTGACCGTGATCGATCCAAAATGGCTTGTTGAGCTGGCGCCAAGGTTTTACAAGGGTGCTGACCCCACCAAGATGAGCAAGAGGAAAAGGCAGGAGAGGATCGAGCCTCTGTATGATAGATACCACGAGCCCAACTCTTGGCGTCTTAGCAAACGCCGAGCTTGATTGTAACTCACTGAAACTGTGTACTGTATGTTCTTCAATGCTGGTTGATCTTATTTCCATGTTCTAACTACAATTTTGTCCAAACTGTAAATATTTGTGAATTGGCACATGTAAGCATCTCTAAGAGTTTTTTTTTTTTGAAAAAACATTCTAGAAAAATCTGGTTTAAGATGTTTCCAAACACGGGCAGAAAAGAAAAACTCTCCTCCAATAGTTCCTCTTCTCTTGTTCCTAAAGAATCAACGTCCAGCATCCTCGGTGCCTCCTCTAGACCTCTACTACGTCAGAAGTCGTCCATGACACTTGGTACTCCAGATATTAGCTTCCTGTTCCATTTCTGCGCCACCAAACGTTACCATTTTTGTTCTCAGTATCACTTTCTGAAACAAATTCCTGAATCTCCAACTCCTGCTCAACACTCATTTTTTTATTTTTTGAAATTTTACTCAATACAAATTGGGCTTGCCTTATTCCGGTGTCGGAGACTCGACAGCCGACAGCTCCATCTGCAGCTACTCACCTGCCTCGCTCGATTGGGAGCGTCAAGGGAGGAGTGCGGTCATCGGTTTCTCAAGCGCAGCAACTGTTGGAGTGATTTTCCGTTGCCCCATTAGTGCTGTATTTGTGAAGTGAATAATGTTGATTTTGAGAAGGCTACACTGTGTTATTGTTTGTAAAATTACAGGTCAAATACCAGAACAGGAAATATTGCTTCATCACTATCTTTATCTACCCATGGTTATCGTCCAATCAAAATTTTATGATCTGCTTTTTTAAGCAAATTGTACGACACTACCGACTAACAGAGATGAAGCAATATTTGTAGTGCCCAATGGAAAGCAGTTTCTGGACCATTTTGTCAAATACCAAGAACCACTCAACGACGCCCCAATGAAGAATAGTGTGCCCGACACCCCCTCTTCAGGCAAGAAGTGCTACTGCTGTGGTGAACCCGGTCACTATGCAGGTCAGTGTCCGAAAAAGCCGAACAAGCAACAGCCCCGCAATGGAAACCAGAAACAACGGAACCATGTGGAAGGCAGAGTCAATCATGTGACAACAAAATCTGCGCAAGAAGCCCCTAATGTTGTGATGTGTAACTATCTAGTCAACTCCAGCCCAACATTGGTTTTGTTTGATTCTGGAGCTTCACATTCCTTCATTGCACATTGATTCGTTAAGGAGCATAGTATACCAAAGTGCCCTATGAAGAAGCAAATGATAGTTAACTCACCTGGTGGGGATATGCAAGCTACTCTGATGTGTCCCAGTGTAAGAGTTGAAATAAGGGGGTAGAGTTTTTGGCAAATCCTATTGTGCTGAAGTCCTCAAGCATAGATGTCCCTCGGTGGACTATTGGCGATATCTCGTCGACAAGATCCATCTCAATGGGGACATAGGTTACCGGCAAGCAACCGAACCTCAGGGAAAATCTTTGTGTCACTTGCCCTTGTTGGTTCGCCCTCTCAACACTTGCATTTACATTCATACCTCGTGCTTGTGTTGTTGCCAGAACTTGATCCTGTTGCAACTAGTACCTTTTCTCTCTATGCTCTAGAAAAGTTGAGTGCTCCCGACACCCTTCTATTTGTTGGAAGAATTTGGATCTTCCTCCCGCATCCTTTCTTCGTGGAGAAGGATGTAGCCACACGCTGAAAGGTTTCTCCATACGGTTCACATTCTCCTCTGGGCAATCATCTCACCGTGTCCAATCTGTCCGCATAAGAAACAAAAATTGGGCACGTTCTCATACTTCACCTTGAATCTCAGCAAGCCCTGACCCTTGACCCTCTACTCCACATAGTTCTATAATGCATCTGCCAACGGGAACATGAGCCGGACTCTCAGAAAGTCACCAACTGGTCCGATGACCTTAACAATATTAGTGTTGATTTCCTTTGCTAGGACAGTTGTGAAAGCTTCCGACATTAGATGAATTGGAACATCATGGAATTGCACCCATAAGCCATTCCTATCAATAACAATCTCTAAAGGTCTACGGAAACCATCATACGACACAACAATAAGATCATCGACTCTATGCCTCTATGGCCTTCCATTGGTGATGAACTTGAAGAGCTTTTCGGAGTCAAACTCGAGGACAAAGTGATTCTTTGAAAGTGGAGGTGCCTCCATAGAGTCTTGGATGCCCCAGGCATTACTCATCTCCGAGAATAGTACCTTGACATTATAGGGTACACCCGAGTAGTAGCAGGCGATCATGAGCCATTTCCTTACTAATTCTTCCCTCCAACATCGGGGTTGAATTCTTCCTCCTGATCAACGTTACTCCCATCATCGATCATTAGCTAGCTAGAAGGCATTAGGGCCAATGGCTTTGAGGAACCCCCCCTGTCGCCATCTCCTCGCCTGACACCATTGCCTTGCCCTACGTCGCCGACTGATCTCTACCACCACTCCTGTCTAGGTTGGCCTGGACCTTGTTGGTAATTCTTAGCGTCACTGCTAGGATTTGTGTTTCCTAACAATGGCACCAGAAATGCGTTGACGATATTTATGAACGCATACAGAAATATTCCGCAAGCGCACAGATATATCGTTGTAGCATTTCACCCGGAAGTATTCGGGTATCATTCATTTATAATTTCCCAAAGGAAGGCATGGTATAAAAGTCTCTAGTAGGGACATGGACAAGATAACATGACTACATAATAGTCCAAAGTTCATAGTAGGGGTAAGCCAGGATAAATATTGGATAGCATGACACACACACTCAAGCCAATCTCAAGGATAAAGATGAAAGAAAGAATAAAGAATAAAAGAATATACCTAAACTGGAGCAGGCTTATCTCATATAGCTATGTTAAGATGTGTAGATGATCATACAAATACATGAGTTACTAAGGGTAGAGATCCTAAGTTAAGATAGCTTTGGTCACTATGAACTTACTTTGGGCACTGGCTTATACATGGTCTACCAAGTACCTTCGGCCTCCATCTCTACGCCGTACCCGGACGTGAGGAGTTACAAGGGACGGACAAGGCTATCACCACCTACCGCCAACCCCTCAATCGTGGAGTATGAGGCAAACGAAGGTAGCCTCTAGCCTATACACCACATCTACGCTATCAACTACTACTCTAGTGTTGCGTAGGATTATCCATCTTTATCAGGGCCCTCTACTAGAGTATCCGCCAAGAGGACGGACGACGAACCCGCAAGAAAACAATGACCAAAACTAACTTAAAGTAGAACTCACCATCTCAACTTAGGTCTTGGTCTAAATATGTATGTTGTATGAAAGATTAAGCACAAAGTTCTTTATGCTAAACTAATAACATAAGAACTTAGCTATATTTCATAAGCATAAATATATTGATAATATGAGAGCAAGTACAAAAGGAAACTCTTGATATTATTCATACCAAAAGACTCAAGTTGTTCAAGCTCTCCAAGGTAGCTTCTCCTAGCTCTAACTACTAAAAATAGTAAAAAGAATACAAGTGGAGGGAGAGAGGCTCTTGAATGAGGTGTGTGTGAGAGGGGAGGCCTCCTCTTCTATTTATAGCCATGGAATGGTCGGTTGTAGGGAATATTCCAAGGAGATCCGCATGCAACCGCCTTGAAGGAGCCACCAGGAGACGCCATGTGGAAGGAGGAGGTGGTTGGAGCAGGTGGGGGCGCGGGCGCACCTTGGTGTTGCCTCCCCGTGATCGCCTTCCGCATGGTGGTTGTATGTTGTCGGCGCAAAAACGTGTCAATGCGTCTAGCACATAGCAAGCCAGAAAGATCTGCTTGATGGAGCAAGGCTGGAGATCCGCTTGGCTTCAACATAGGACCAGTCGACCCTGCGAATTCCCAAAGGCGTGCCAGTCAATTTGACCTGCAATTCACAAGGAGAGAAAGTTTATTAGTAATTTAAGGTGGAACATGCCGGTCTTGCCTAGACAGTTTCAAGTGTGCTGCTTCGGAAGCAGCCAGACAGGGAAATCGACTAAATAGCTGATACGCAAAGAAATCGACTGTTTATGGACTGTAAAGCTCATGGATTGCGATTGATTTTATGATGACAAGTACAATGCACGTAGATATAAGTAACGCCATTAGCTGGGTGAATATTACCAGTGTAAAGCATTGAGCCGATGAGTTCAACGAGAAAGTATATAACATGCGAACAAATCGACTATCTAGTACAAACGGATCTACAAACACTTTGTATCTAATCTGTTACCATCAACAGTGAGGTTCGACCGGATCGATGGCAGCTATGATGATAATAACAAACTAAAACCAAAGAATTCATAAAACTGCCTATACATTGACATGTTTTCTGAAAAACATACTATATGTGTGAAAGCACAAGTGAATCGGCTGAAATAGCCGATTCAGGTAAAAAAGGGACTACAGTGTGTGAACAATCGACTATTTATCATGGACATACCTATGAACTCATCAGACCTAACATGTTATCTTTAATAGTGGGGTTCGACCGGATCGATGGTAGCTGTGATAAAGACAACAAATCAAACCTTTAAAATAAATAGATCTATTCACATTTAACATAATCATGGAGACACACTGTAGGAGTTAAAGCACAGGCGATCGGCTATTTAGCCGATGCGGGCATAGCAAACAGCCAGGGTCATGCCTGATCGAAAGCAGATCTACCAACTAGCATACTCCGATCTAAAGTACTAACGGTGGGGGTCGATTAGATCGATGCATCCATAATAGCGAGCTATAGACCAGATTTAACTAGCTAGTAAACCTTCTCAGGATCAGACATGCCTTAACCACGTACTATGCGCAATCAAGATCGAAGTAGAATAGCCGATGAAACATAATCCGTCGTTTAAAGTAAGAACTATTGCAATGTAACAAGATAAACGATGGACTAAAAGGATGTGAAGCCGATCTAGATTGATGTCGATTGGGCAAGTTGATATTGCTGAAACTAATGACAATAAGAACATCAGCAAGATCAGTAACTTAATGAATCTACCCAAAGGATGCCACCCTTAGATAGAGCCGATAACTT